ATAAAATAAATTTTGAAAAAACGAAAAAAAAAAAAAAAAAAAAAAGAAGATATTGACCTAGAAGCTTGATGAGGGAAATGCAAAAATGACCAACTAGAGCGAAAAACCAAACATCTTAACCTGGTAGTACTATCCAGAGGAGAAATGGGAGAAGGCAGGCTGTTGAAATAGAGGAAGGATACCGAATTCAGCTGATGCCTGATGTTATACGTAGGAAAGTACGATAGGGAAACATGTCTGACATGTGTTTATTACGAACTAGGAACTATTTCCATAATCTTTTGGGAAGGAACTTAGCTTTGCTCGAGTCACATTCTATAGTGATCTCTGTAAAAAAAAACATCGATATTTTCCTTCCCCTTCAAGTTCTAGTTCCATTAGAAACTCTTTTCTTGAAATTGTTATTAGTAAGGAACCTCTTTGAAATTATTAGCAGGGAAGGGAGAAAAAATGGAAATTTACCAAGCCATACAACAAGGTTCACCTATTTTAGTTGAATTCTCAAACTAAAACTTTAACCATTTCATATGAATGGAAAAGGGCTTAGCTACAACGAAATTAAAATGCAGAGATTCAAATTCCAATGGGAGAAGAAGAAGAAGAGCATTTTATTACTCACCTGCCTTCTCCAAGAGTCAATGGCAAAGATTTCCCATCACACCTTTATTTCCTGGTTTTGATACGGGTGATACTGCTTTGCCTTGGATCCAAATGCAGTCTGCAACAATATAAGGGGTTGATGCATTTAAATATGATCCTATGAACTCGGTATGATATAAAATAATCGGCCTCTGATGGGTTACTGATGGAAATACCAAAATGACCTCCGTGTAAAGAAGACGCCTCAAAACACACCAATAAAATTAACTTGGTCTTCTTTTTTATACTTATATCAGAACTTAACTCCGTCTGAGAATTAATGAGAAATTTTTATAGTAAAATTAATTTTATGAGTTTGAAATACCTAGTAGCTATTGACGAGGTACAAAATTGCTTGAAGATTTCAGAAAAAATAATCATCAGAGGGAAAGAAAAATGCAAGGGAAGTTCTGGGCACAGTTATGAAATATTTGCTCATTAAGAAATGGCATACATCATTAGAGAATACTTAAAAACAAGGGCATTCCCATTATTAAATACAAAACTAAAACTTTTCTTTGGACAAAATCAACATATTTTCCGTTGCTGCTTTAATGCCAATATATACATACACTAGACGATTCACTATGCAAGGAGCACCTTAGTTTCATCATCTGTGCATTTTATTGTTTTCTTAACTAGCCACAAAAAAGATAGGTAAAGTAGAAAATCAAGTCCAATTTGTCATCTTGTATTCTTTTAGAAAGAAGGAAGAATAACTTTATATCTATGAACAAAGTAAAAAAGGTTTAGCTTTTACTACTTCAGATGACAGTAAGGCCTTTATTAGGTATAGTTTGATAGCATAAATAATGGGCACAATATCATATTAGCAAAGAATATTAAAGCAACATGCTCACCTGTCCAGACCTGAAACTGAGCAGTGATAATGTCACATACTCTCACTTGGAGTCCCTGTATAGTCAATCTACCAATTGCTGCGTGATGTGTCAGTCACCCTATACCAACCATCTAAGTGGAATGATTGAATCGTATCCCCCAGGACCAGTTCCTGTCCAGCCATCATTGGTCCTCTTAATTTTGTTCCTCTTTCAATAGAGAACATTCAGCATGTCTTATACACATTTGCATATATATAATACATACACAAACAAATAATGTGAAGTCATAATTACATAATACTGTAACTGAGAGAAGTTTGTAGTGAGGGACTAGCAGGTTATGGCGTAGCTGTACAGTAGCAGCAAGAACACAAACAAGCATAGCCTTGCACGTTATGAGAATTAGCATATATCAGATGATGGTTCAAAATTAGGCATTAGGGGCACCCAACATTGGCGTATGAAAAGAAAATTCAAGTAACCCTTTATAGTTAAATTGATAAAGCAAGGTACATGCGCATGCAGTTAGATCCATAGAAACTGATGTAATATGCAGGGAAATTCAAGACTCGAAAATCATGTAGTAATTTGCAGCTCTTGATCAACTTCGGCTGCTTATATCCTAAGTTTAGTTTAAGCATGTGAAAGACACTTCCCATTGATCATATAAGTCGGAAGTAAAGATCAGAAGATGCAAGTAACAGAACATAAATATTGGATGCCCCTAAATCTCTGCCGACATTTCGTAATACCTCTTAAAAAAATAAAAAATAAAAAATAAAACTTGAATTGACAAAGAGAAGACACAAAAAATGTGATATGTGAAATGATTTTGATGCCTATAAATCTCTGCTTATATTTCTTAACACCAATAGAAAGACAATATACTATTTTTCTTAAAAAAGGAAGAGACAAAAATCTGGCCAAGGGCTTGTTATGTTTAAAATAAAATTTTGAAAAACACCACTCCATAGTTCATACTCCTCTTGCACGCTGCCAATATATCTTTTTCCTCCCTTCCTCCAGAAATTTTGATTGGAAAGAGCTAATCATCTTTTCTTGAGCAATGACCATGAATAATTAGCTTTTCCCCATTAGAAGTACCAAGAATCTCGAGTCCATTTGACAAAAGAGATCTCAAATCCAATCATTCGTTGGTAAGAACTATTTCTACAAGAGCTTTCATAATCTTATACTCTAGATATCAGCTACCAGCCTCACTATTATATCATATTATTGTCTTCATAATTGTTCATATCATTAAGCACAATCCGACTACATGATCAATAACAATAGAAACTACAAATAGAATAATCAGCCAAGCGGATCCTACATATTTAAATAGAAATCGACTTTGGCAACAGAACCATAAAGAAAACTAAATATTACAGCTTAAAGTTTAGTGATTAGTGCAGTTTTTCAGGAAACTGTTTCTTGTCCGTCAAATCCTAGCAAAATTTCACAAACATGCAGAGAAATAATTTAACTATAGTAGTAGAAATGTAGGTCGGAATAATTTCCTTCAACAAAGAAAAAAGGAAATTCGTGTACAAGTGACAGAAATGAAATTTCAGATATCAACGAAAGCAAATACTCTAGATCGCACTGTCAGTAGATTCTAATACAGGATGAATGATGCATCCATTTCCAGCAACAAAGAGAAAAAAAAAATTGATAAACAACCGTATGCAACACAAAATGTGATGCAACAAAACATTGACATGTTGACCTGATAGCCAAACCAAATGACTCTTCCAACTCCGTATGGAAGCCATAAAAGATTGACCGAATACTGAAGTACAATAGGACAGGATGTAAATAAGTAAACATCATAGGAAATAGCTTATCAGTATTCTCACCTATATTGCAAATTGAATCAGGCAGAACGTGACCTATATTTCTCAACAAAAAAGAAAGAGTCTGGATTAGTGCAGATTCAAGTTAACTGTACTTGAGCCTTAACTTAAGCAAGCAGATCTCCGTAGGTTTATAAGCACAGTTCAGACCAGACTTATCAAAATGGTTGATCTCCTATTATAAACGGAAAATGAAGTACAATATGTTACCATTCCGGACCGCGGTAAAGATCTCCAGTTCAGACCTCACTCGATTTAGTATATTCGAAAACGAAGCGCATTCTAGAACACTATTCAAATCGTACTGCGTTCTTAATTAAAGCGTGAAAACCACTCGGTTAACTGATATATAAAACGATAACGTTCTAGGAAAAGACAAGTACAAGAGGAAAACAGAATAGAATCATAATCATAGAACCATCCATATTCTAACAGGAAAAAAAAGAGATCAAATGTAATCATCACTCATACGGAAACATGAGCCGAATAATTACACAGCAAATGAAAAGCGCAAAACTCACGGCAATAATGGATGCTGTGGCGCTGATTATTCCAGAGAAAAATATCCTCCAAAGCTTCTGATCATCCGGTTCCTGAAAGCAATCCAAACATACGAATAGCGTAAACCACACGGCGAAGGAAGTGGATGTCGCGGCGCCGACGAGGCCAGAGGTAAAAACGCTCCAAAGGATAATCGTCGTTCCTCATTTCTTTCGCCACAGAGAAATTCTCACGCAAAACTCAGACCATCGCTACATCTCTGGTTCCCGCCTTTTACATTTCCTTATATATAGTCGGGGGCGGAGATCGTGTGTGCTCGCTCACATGGAACCTCATAAAATTTGCATACGTGGCAAATTAGAAAAAAATTCACAAAACAATAAGGTACGCGTCGGAGAAGGGAGATTCATTAAGTAATATATCGTGGTTGACTGTACGACATGTCGGCTTAATGGCACGTGTATAGATGTGTTGGGCCAAAGAAAGCCCACGGTTCATAAAAGCAAACGGGCTTCCCAATCTGTAAGGTTTCAGTGTTTATCACGAGTCGTCCGCACGATGACCTAATTTGGAAGAAAGAAATTCGCAAAAAAAAAAAAAAAAAAAAAAAAAAAA